ATATATATATATATATTAATAGTTTTCAATATATGAGTAATGAGTTTGTTTTGTATGAGACTATCTTGTCGAGATAGCACTGTCGTGCGCTCTTACTTGGGCCCGGACTTGATTAAGACGGCAGAAAATTTGTTGTAGCAACTCGAGCCACGAGGAAAAGAAATTATTATGGTTTATATGATGTAATCCACGAGTGAAAATGGCATACACCAATTTATCAGAAGTTTATCACATTGAACATGACCGAACATCAGGTCTGTATAGTTGACAGGAAGCATGATTTGTGGCACGATTCCAACAATTAAGCCCAGGGGGGAAGGTCTAGTGGCCCACAGCAGCACGTCAAAAATTGGTCAGCCGTTTTGTTTTTGCAACTCGCTGTCAAGATCGGCCATGAAAACTGTTATTCCACTGTTTAGAGATGTATAATGAAAGCTCTAACAATTAAATGAACTGATAAATTCAGTAAATTAAAAACTTACTGCATAAAATGCGAAAAATAATTCGCCCTACCAGGGGAGGGGAAGTGGCCCACAGAAGCACGACACAAATTGGTCATTTGGTCATTGCAATTTCTCTGTTTTACAGTCAAACCACGTCAATCGTGAACACGTAGAGGTCATTAATGACTTTATTTTTGGATTCTTGATTTCATTATTCGATTAGAACATTCATTATTGAAAAAGAATCTTCAATATTCAAAAAATAATGATAATTTGAAAATTCCATTACAGTCAAACAAGCTCAAGCGTTGACCCCTAGATTCGATTAATGAAATCATTAGTCAATTATTCTTTTTATACGTACGAACCGGAATAATGCAATATTGCAATATTCAAATGAAAATTCAGTTCATTATTCGACTCGTGATGAAGAAGGTAAATCATCTAAATTACAGATACCTTCGAGCAGAAGTCGCTCTCTTATTTCATAAGCATACACACTAGGTTTTGTAATTTCCATGCCTCAATTACTTGGAGGATATCGTCAATAATTTTGTAGGGAACGCTCCAGCCTTGAGCAAAATGGAGACACAGTTCCATGTCGTCGATAATGTTGAAGTATTTTCTTGCCTCCCCAACTAGAAATTTTCAGTTGTCGCGAAATTGCTTTATTGGACAATCCGCTATTGCTGAGATGAACAATTTCCTGGCGAATAATATCAGGTAAAGGCTTTCCCGGCACATAAACATGGCCAAGACTATTTCTGGCCGCCATGTTTTCTTGGTCTTCCGGCTGTGTTAACACTGATTAATCAATCAAAATGTCGTATATTGAATTTAAAGTTGATTGGAATTTTCATATCTTCGTTTTTGTTTCGGCCCTCAGGCCGAAACAGTCACTACATTCGGTTTGCCGGCCCATAATAGTCTCCGTGCATGTCATTTAGCTGTCAGAGGTTTGGACCTAATCCAATCATATGCCCTTTCCATCATAAGCAATGGAAAAATGTAAAACATTTCACAATGCAGAGTATTTCGGAGAGTTGCGGTGAATCTTCTCTGAGGTAGTTGTGTAGACTATATTATGCCCTTTTGCATGACGCCATTTTTTGGAAAAAAATATATTATTGATTAACCCTACAACAATGCGTATTTTATTCCTAAGTCAGTATCTAGGTTCAAGTCGCCAAGTAGGTAAGCTATTGAAAAGTTATCCAAAAGCTTTTGTGATTGTGCGGCAAATTAAGGCAATTTGCCAGTCTCAGCTGCCTGTGAGCATAAGTTGAGAAAACTGGTGAGTTTATCTGTGTAACTAACAGTTGATACATATATATTTTGTGAAGCAAGCTTCCGATATGTTGTAGCTTCGTGCACATCTGAGGACATGTTTTTGGTATCACGCAGCTATTATTTAAACTAGGTCTTATAAACAAACAGTGCATACTTTACAACTTTAAAAATAGAAGTCTGAAATCATCAGTTTTCATTTATTAATGCTCTGATGTAAAGTATAATTTCTTGGATTCGGTAATATTTTTGAAGCACCAAGAGATGTAAATTTTTGAAGCACCAAAAGATATAAATATTGAGTAGATTGGTGACGGCGCACTGGTCAAAGACAAGCTTTGTATGTTTTCGTTCAAATTGAGACTTTCGCATTTTCTTCAAGCTACGATATAAGAGCTAAATACATTTACCATAAATGTCAAAGAGCAGAATCAAGGTTTAAACAGTATCCTACATTCAACATGGCGCGTACTGTAATGCTCATGTGCCAAAATATTTTGTCTTTTGTACTCTGCTCTCTGCGATATATACTCAATCATTGTTTATATCTATTGTCGGATCTCTCATTCGTTCGGCGAAACGTTATATGTATGTACGTTGCCCTGTTTTCCCGATGTTTCAAAGCAAGAACCACTGTGTTTCGTCCAAGAGAATTTTATAGCAAATGTTTACATCGAAATTTGCGTAAGACTTTGCAGCGTGAAAGCGTACCACGAGATCGCTCTTGTCTATTATTTTCAAAATACAGGAGACCCCATTACCACAGCAAGACCAAAATTCTTTATTCAGCAATGCCACACAATAAATAGATAACGGGCCGAAACATCATCGCTTTCGAAGCGATATAGGCTTGTTGACGTTGTAAATTTCAACTGAATAATGAAATCAAAATTCGAAAATTCAAATCATTAATCGACTCTAGGGGTCAACGCGTGAGCTTGTTTGACTGTAACTTGGCCTGTAGGCTCTTGTTTATAGCGCAAACAGAAGGTAAGTCATCAATACTGCATATTCCTTGCACAAAAAGTTGTTTTTGCATTTCAGTTGCATATGTGCTTGGCTTTTTTATATGCCAGGCTTTGAAGATTCGTTTTCAATAATGAATGTTCGAATCGAATAATGAAATCAAGAATCCAAAAATAAAGTCGTTAACGACCTCTACGTGTTCACGCTTGAGGTAGTTTGACTGTAAGATCGGCCATGAAAACTGTTATTACACTGCTTAGAGATGTATAATGAAAGCTCTAACAGCTAAATGAACTGATAGATTCAGTAAAATAAAAATTTACTGCATAAAATACGAAAAATGGTTCGCCCTACCAGGGGAAGAGAAGTGGTTCACGCTACGCGATAGCATAATGGTTAGCCGTCTATCGACGGACTAACCACAAAAAAACTCAGAAAAAAACTAAGAACCCCAAATGAATAATTGAAGAGACGACTATTAGTTAACTTACTTATTGTTGACTGTCTGCTAAGTTTTTCCCTGCTTTCAGGCGTGAAGGAAGGAGACTCTGCCGATGTAAAGCGTTTCCTTTGATATACCGCCGTCCACGATTGTGGACGAACAAAACCAGTTTTAAAACCGGTTTTTAACCGATTACATGTAGTGCGCATGAGCAAATGTAAGACACCGTGGCGCCAAACATTGTTTGACGAGAGTGGCTGTCAAAATCATGACAGCGTTGCTAAGTTACGCCACACATGCGCGACAAAAATAACGTCCTACATCGGCAGAGTCTATTTATCTCTCTCAACCAAAACAAAAGGAAAATAGGCTCTGCTAGCAGGGAAGCTAAGTTTAAATATCCCAATAAAAATCCAAAGAACTTGGAATGACTATCCAAAGCGTGGATATTCTTGGACTGATCGCCAAAACCAGTAACTAGCTTGGGCGTGTCATCTGTACATTGCCTTATATAGACATATACAATATTCCATCAGCAGACGATCTCAGCAGACAATCTCGTACCGTGCGTTTCTTCTGGCCTGCGCGGCGAAGAACGAGGGCTCTGGCACAATCCATTTTTGGCGCTTGCGTAGTTTTCCGGAAGTGAAATATAATCAATGAAAGTCATACTTCAAAACTGCTTTCAAACAGAGTTCTGTGTTTACTTCCGAAGCAGCAGCAGCAGCAGCAGTTGAGGGCCACAAGTTTATTAGTGTAGTACACTATTTAGTGCCACCCTCATTAAATAAAGTTGTTATTATTATTATTAATATGTTAGGGGGACCCGCGGAGGGGGTACCGTATGAGCCGGGTATTACCCCCGCCAAAAACCATTGGTCGGCCGCGGGTATTACCCGTAAGGTCCCTATGTGTATTGCCTGCGTAATTCGATTTGAAAAGCTCTCTACGGGTTTTATCGGTGCCCCGCAGTACTAAGTTAAAATATTTGTTCTATATACAATGCACGAATGTAAAGAGTTTGCTTATGACTTTTGTGTAAAGTGCGTGAAACCCAAGTTTAAACCCACTAAACCAAATAAGTATATTTGTTGTGGTAAAAAAATGCGAATAGAAGAGGATACGTCAGCACAGTGTTACGAGTGTGGTAAAAATATCCTTAATGCCGTACCAAATGCTACCAGAGAGCAATATTACGCCAATGGAGGTCGTAAGAAAACACCTTATAAGAGAATAAAATACTTTAGGGATTGGATGAGTCACATTCAAGGTTATCGCCCCGTGTACCTTGACAACGAAGTAATGGAAGCGCTTGACTTAAAAGAACCAACACCACAAAGCTTAAGGAAGACATTGAAAAAATTAAAGCTGGGAAAATATTACAAAGGTATTCCCTACCTTTTGTCTGAAATTACCGGTGACCCTATTCCCGGGGTTTCTGAAGATACTATGAGAAGGGCTGAGTGGATGTTTTGTCGGCTGGATAAGGATATTCCTTATTATTCCGACGTAATTTACGAAATATTCCACGAAATAGACCCCAA